ATTTCATCAAAACCCGCAGCTTGACAGCACAAGTTATGCACTGGTTCGCCACATCCTCGGCAAACATGGGCCCCAGGCCCAACCAATGGCAAAGACGGATACATGCAGCCGGTCTTCACGCCACAACACTGTTCTTGGGATGGGGAAACATTGTTTGAAGCCATTTGTCTTATTGTTGGGTATGCATTGATGTAAAGCAACTGTGTTTTCATCAGAGATGACATACTGGAGGCAGGTAAGCATTCTCAGTTCAGGATTCCAACAATTTTGATTGGTAAATATTTTTTTTGGAGCACGTGCCAAGTCCATGATGCCGTGGTGCATCGTGGTGCATTTCAAATGCACCACGATGCACCATGCTAACCCGGATTTTTGCGTATGTCCGGGTTGGCATGGTGCATGGTGGTGCATCGTGGTGCACTTTTTTTTTGTTAAGAACGCGCCTCAGAGCTGTAGCGTAGACAGGTCTGGTTACCTGAGATTGCGGATCACAAGACTGTCCAACTCTGATCTGCTTCAGGTACTGCCTTAGTGTTGTTTGTTTGAAATGACAATACTTGATAGAATACAAATTGATTCAAAGAAATATTATGATGATTACATTTTGACTGAAGTGAAGGATGCACGAATAAATTCAATATTGAAACGGAACTGCAACACTGGGCAAGACTCGGCAGGGCTTAGGTAAGCTAAGGCAGTAAGACCAAGAGTATCCTGGTAAGACTGACCCTTTTCCGAATAGCATAGTGGACAAATTATCAACAGCCGGTCGGCAGACAGACTAGATTCCACTCTCCCTCACATCCGAAACTTCAACAAATTGTGTCAGCACGGAATGCCTTCTCAATTCAAATTTTATACAAATAACGGGCTTCGCACAATGGATGACAGTGGAAGAAAACTGCGGAGCAGAAACAACCATCAAGTCATCGAAGCACAAGGGTCCAAGCGTTCTACCAACCTTGAACGCGGAAGCGGTTGGCTTCGTATGGTTCAGGTGATAGAGCCTTGGTGAGGTAGTCAGCATCTTGAAGTGATGTTTTGATTTCCTCCACGGCAACGGAGTCGCCAGCAATGCCATCTTTGGAGACGTATTGCCAGAACCAGTGGAACTTGTTGAGGTACCAACGGGTTCGGGAAGTGATGCGTTGATTGGTTGCAAGGAAGTAGCAGCCTTGATTGTCTTCAAAGGCTCAAGCTCGAATGGTGGCAACCATTGGATCGGAGACATTTACCTTTGAGGTAGCTTCGACGAGCATTCGCTTCAGTGGGATCAGAGTCTTCAAGGCATCAGAAAGAGCGGTGTATTCAGCTTCGAGTGTAGAGGATGCGATACTTGTCTGTAGAGAGGATCTCCAAGTAACGGGACAACCAGCCAGCTTGATGACGAATCCAGTGCGAGATCTGACAGAGGTTGGGTCAGCATCAGGTTCAACTTTGAAAAGTCCACAAAAATCAGCGTCAACAAACATATCCAAGGTAAGCTTTCTATCAATTTTGACAATGGTACCCTTGTCACGGGTGCGCTTCAGGTAACGTAGAATTGTCTTGACTGCAGTTGCGTGTGATTGCTTTGGATTGGAACTAAAGCGGGCCACTTGACTCACTGCAAAACTGATGTCCGGTCTTGTATTTGTCGATAGGTACAACAACATTCCAACAATGGATCGATAATTCCACTCTTCATTCATAGGTTCTCCCTCAGGATCGGATCCAAGAGGGCCAGTGGCTGGGGTGCGATTCGGCTTGCAATCGGTCATTCCAGCGGCAACAAGAATCTTGTCAATCAAACCAGTTTGGGTAAGTTCGATTGAACCATCATCTCGTTTGTCAAATTTGATTCCAAGAAACTCATTGAAATTTCCTTCCTTCTTCAGCTCAAATCCAAGGTCGCGTAGTTGGTCGATTAAGCGATCAACGTCTTGGGGATCAGCGGCACCAATTCCTGCATCATCAACGTACAGGACCACCATCATTCCAGGTTTGTAAAACAGACAAGGGTCAATTTTCGATTGCTTGAGTCCACACTTCTCTAGACCTTTCTTGCACGTCTCTGACCAGAAATGGGGGCTTGAAGAAAGTCCATATAATGATCTCTGAAGTCTTAGACAAGTGCCAGGACCTTGAGGTGATACGAATCCGCGTGGCAGATGGATCCACTTAGGAGTTGGAAGCTTGGATTGAACAAAGGCGTTGCTGAAGTCCACAGAAACAGTGGTCCATCCAAGTATCATGCAGAGAACAAGAAACATGCGAACAGTACTCCAGGCAACAGTAGGTGCAAAGGTGTCTTTGTCAGCAGGTCTGTTCTCGAGATCTCCTCTCACACAATATCTTGCCTTGTGCTTCTTAATTTCACCACTTGGGTTCCGTTTGACTCGAAACACCCAGGTTCCAGGAATGATCTTGGATTTGGCGTCCGACATTGGGACTTCTTTCCAGGTGAGTTTTCCTTCGAGCTCTTCAATTTCTTTCCTTGCAGCTTCACATCACTTATCCTTGTCATTCGATTTGATTGCCTCGTTGTATGACAGAGTGTCGGGATCCTTGACGGCTTGGACTTTGTACGCAGATGGATAAGAGAAAAGACTCTCTGGAGTCTCAATCCATTCGGTATTGAAAGTGTTGAAGAAGGCAGTGAAGTATCCGTTGTCGTTGTCGGCAGAAGCAAAGTGTCCTTGGGATTCAATGAGTCGATTGGGAGCTTTTCCGGCAGTGGAACGTTTGGAACGGCGAGGTGGTAGTGAAGCTGAAGGCTTAGGAGCAGGAGCAGGCTGTGGAGCTGGTTTCGTTTTTGGACGTGTAGGCTGTGGAGCTGGTTTTTTCACGTGTGGGGGGCTGTGGCATCTCCTTTGGAGTCGCATTCATCTCCCTCTGAGGCGCAGACGGCTGGGAAGGCGGAGCCTCATTCACAGTCTCCCTTAGGAGTGAAGGTAGTGGAGTCTCTTTCTGGAGCGAAGATAGTGGAATCTCCCTCTGGAGCGAAGGTTGCTGATTTGACAATCCGACAGATGGTGGCACGGTGGTAGGTGGGGGCTTGACGTCCAATGGTTCGGAAGGGCGATGATGTTCGATTTGGTCTCGGACGCGAGACACCAATGGCGGAAGGTCGGATGGAGCTTGGTCAACTGGAGGTTCATGATCATCATCATCATCCAAGATGTATTGGTAAATCGAGTCTCCAAAAAGCTTCATCCATTCATTAGAACCAAAATCCGGTAAGTCGTCGACACTTGTAGCAATTGTTGAGAACTCGTCATCAAACACAATGTGGAATTGGGATGTGATGGCGCCAGTTGCTGGATTCAAACACAATGGAACTGACGATGCGTGCTTCTTGCTCAATCCAACATAGATTTGCCGAGTTGAGCGGGGTTGCCACCGAGGCAGCTTTTGTCCATCCTGGATCTTCTTTTCAAGAACGTATACTGGGCATCCCCAAACATGAACATCGGCGAGTCGAGATTGAGGCCAGCGGGTGCGACTGATGAGATCATTCGGAGATAGACCTGTGGTTGGATTTGGCATGTGGTTGTACAAGAAGACAGCTTGATCCACGGCAAGGGGCCAACAGTTGGCAGCAGCAACATCAGGCCAATGGATGGCTTGATGCAACATCATCGTTCGCGCAATGGACATAATCGTTTGGATGGATCGTTCGGCGATTCCATTGTGATGATGAGCTCCGACTCCTGCAAACGAAGAAACCTGTTCAAACTGTCGTAAGTGCTCAGTGTATGCCCTTGATGTGAAAGCTCCACCATTGTCACTCTGGTACTCTGACACAATAACTCCAAACTCTCGACACTTGTTTTCGAAAGCTTCCTTGCCTTGCAAAGTTTCATGAGTGTTGAGATGAACCTGATGATGGACGTGGACGAAACCGGAGGCATGATCCACAAAGATGCATCCACCTGAGAATCGAAGTGAATCATCTTCCTTTCCAAAGGTATGTAGCAATCGTCCTTTTGTTGAACAAACAAAATGATCCACTGACACTTTCTGTCCTGGGAACAAGTTGTCTTTCTTCAGGGCTCCCTCACGATCGCGGACCACCCTTGAGGTCTTTCCAGGAGCTGGACGACGACGTTGCTTGCCAAATTGACATCCTGCACAGAGTGGCAATGTTGTCAGCTTGGAAGCTGCAGCTTGTAGACGTCGCGTCGACTCAGTATGCGCCAATACACCAGTTCAAAGAAGGAATTGAATTTGCTTGAAGTTGAGATGGCCAAGGCGATGATGCCATTTCATCAATTCGTGGGCAGCGGGGCTGAGATTGTGGTTGTTCGAAGTAGTGGTGGTGACAAAGTTGTTGAATTCGGCTTCAAAGTTTGTGGAGTTGGAGTTGGAGCCATGATCGTAGGCAAGAGAGGTAGGTAGGTTTGTTGCTGGGTCAATTGCAACTTCAATTGAGTTGGTAGCTTCATTTTGTTTCACATTGTCCCTTGACAGCAAATCCTTGGTTCCAATCATTGTCAATAGTGTGCTTGATTGCAAGATTTGTTCCAGTGGATAGGCTTGGAGCAGACTGGTGGTGCTGAGAAGTCAAACAGAAGCACTTGGTACGTAGTGTGCTGGCACTTTCAGAGTTCTCAATCGTCTGGTCTTGTCAATGAATGACCATCTCACATACCCAACACAGGCAATATGCAGTCCTCTTGCAATCCCTTTGATTCGTAGTCCAATTGGAGCTGGTTGAATGGGTCCAATGAAATCCCTCTTGCATGGAGAAAGAGAATGACTCGCACCGGAGTCATAAATCACCTTGTTCTTCCGCACTCTGTGAAGCTTCTGATATTCTTCGATGGCTTGCTTTGGATCTGTTGCAGCCTTGAAACGCTCCGTAATGTTGTTCAAGTGCGGCGGGACATTACCATTGGCAAAGAATGTAGCTGCAATCGGAGAGGTAAGCACCTTGAGCTGTGACATAGGAATTCCATTGCCAATTGTTGGCTTGTACACTGTGTTCCTTTGATTACAACGTCTCATCCTTTGTCGTCTAATGTTGCAGGAACTGAAGGCTTCACTGTGAGGGCTCCAATCATTAGCAGATGCTCTTTTGTTTGGATTGTAGTAGGTCCAACGAGAATACTTGTTCCAGTGTCCAGAAGTTTCCCATGCACCATTGGGTCGATTGCGATACTTCTTGGGCTTGCAACGGGGACAGTGTGCTGAAGGGTGCGTTGAGTTTGGGTCGTCTCCATGGTGGCCACCACAATCTTGCCATGTCTCACTATTTGTCTTCTTCTTACGACTCTTGTTCTTCCAATCATTCCAATTATCTCCCTCATGAAGGGCTCTCCAAATATCTCCCTCTCGTGGAACACAATGAAACAAAATAGCTTTGCCAAAGGCGTCAATGTACTGAGAGAGTTCAAAGACTTCTTGAGAGAAGCGATCATGTCGATGAGACAATGGACGGCGTTTTCGAGTAGCAAGGCCATAGTGACGGGTGTGGCGATGGTTGCTGAAGGACTTGGGGCGACGTTTGCGACGGCAGGACCGAACGAGTTGCTTGTACTTCGGTTTTGTCATTCGGAAAGGCTTGAACTCCTGTGGCGACTGGTATCCGAGGAGCTGGTGCTGAAGGTGATGGGGTAAGGTCCCGAATACCAACAGACTAGCCCACAGCAGCGGAGCAAACATGTTCAACCAAGACGCACTGAAAGCTGTGTAGACAGCTGACCATCCGAAAGACAACATTGGCGGGATCTGAGCGAGAAGAGGCTTCAAAACCGACCACTGGGCTCCAAGTTTGAAACTCAAGAAGGACACAATAATCAACAAGGGAATGTTCCGAAGGGCGCGGCACATCAAGTATTGGAAGACATTCCAAAGAGCCAACGGCGTTTCCATTGAAGGTACGTGCCAAGCATGCGGAAACATGAACAAGTTAGCTTGCGGCTCACCCATCAACTCCTTCTTTGGACCAGTATGCCCATCCGTGCCGTGGGTAGTAGACCAACGAGTGCAATGAGCACAATACTTCCAAGTCTTTCCATTGACAACCTTCTGTTGGGGCTCACCAGGACCAGGGGCAATCTTCTTCCATTTTGTGTCCTCCTTCTTGTTGCCCTTGGGCTTGTTGTTGTTGCCAGCATTCTTACCGCGATTGTTGCCCTTCTTTCCAGCTAAAGGACACACAGGATCGCGGGCCCAGTGACCAGAACCTCCACACTTGTTGCACTTGTCGGAAGGTTTGGCTCGGCTGCTCGAGGTAGCAAGTTGCTGTTGCACAAGCGCACTGATGTGAGTCTCCATCTGTTCCTTTGTCATACACAAAGCGGCATTGCCAAAAGCTGCAGGAGGACGCTTGGAGTCTCAGACGGTGGAGAGAGCTGGGGTCCATTCACCTTTGTCCTTGAGCTTGCGGTAGTTGTCCTCTGCAAGATCAGAGACATCCTCATAGGTAAGACGCTCGGAGGCCACATGAACGTCTGCTGCAGTTCTATACATGTATCCAATGTCCAACAATGCTCGCTCAAGTTTCTGACTCTCGCTCAACAGGTTGTGACAGTACAAGTTGTGATCCTTTGGACCAGCCTTGAGATAACCGTCCAGCATGGACCCTGTGAGGAAATGATGGTATTGGCCAGCCTTGACCAATTCCTTGGCGTCAATCTTGTGATCTTCCGACATCAACGAAATGTCCTCTCCAGGGTAGTCCGATGGCTTGCGCTTTCTGATGCTCTCCTTGATAGCCTCAAAACGGTGAACTGATTGAGATCGGTTCAAGTACATCAAGGTAATGAAAACAACTGGGAATGAGTCTGTTGTCTTGATTCGCATTGTCAACTTCTCAAGCAAACTCGGTTCCAAACTATTCTCAAGAAAGAGCTTGGCTTCAGAGTCGTTGGCGGAGTCATACTTGTCGTACTTGAGGAGCTGAGCAGAAACTTGCTTCCTCACACTCTCAATCGTGAAGGAGGGATGCTCCTCGACAACATGCACAGGTATACCAGTTTGGCAATGAGGTACGTAGGCGATTGTGTCAAGTCCATTTGCCACAAGATGTTGAATGACGTCACGCTGAAACATTCGCAGGTTTCCTTTGAGGTTGAACTTGGTCTCGAGTCCTTTCACACGGTAGGCTCGATGTTTGCCGTCATAGAGGATGGTACGGATCTGGCCTGCACAATAGGGCTCGAGTCGAGCTGGGTCTAGGGCGGACCAGTCATCCTTTGGGGCACCTCCTCCGACAACAGCTACCTGCTTTCCATCACTGTCAATGAGCATCAGTTTGCCCATGGTTGGCTGTTGAACTTGAAAAGGTGTTGGTGGATTGGATCCACCGGCTCCAGCTCCACTTGGCGTTGCCATCTCGGAACTGCGAGGTTCTCCTATGCTTGGTTCAGTGAAGTTGGAACCTACTGAAAACTCTTCTGAGACGTCGTCTGGAAGATCGACTAGGGTGAGGGACTCGGGTGTAGATCCAGCAGAGGACTCTGCTGCGACTCTATCTCTATCCGGCGTAGCAGGATCTATCTTTGCACAACTTGCTTGGAAAGCGTATCTGGCTTGGAAAGCTCTTGGGACTGGCTTGGAAAGCTCTCGACACTCGGGGAGTTCTTGGTGCTCGGGGAGCTAGGGAAGTACTTCAAAATCTGTTGACTCGGAGAGCTCGTTGGTTGGATTTAGCTCGGCGGACGTCTCCACAGATGCTAGGGACCGTAACTGATTAAGTTATATATTGGGCGAAAATAACCACTCAGAGCTGTAGCGTAGACAGGTCTGGTTACCTGAGATTGCGGATCACAAGACTGTCCAACTCTGATCTGCTTCAGGTACTGACTTAGTGTTGTTTGTTTGAAATGACAATACTTGATAGAATACAAATTGATTCAAAGAAATATTATGATGATTACATTTTGACTGAAGTGAAGGATGCACGAATAAATCCAGTATTGGAACGGAACTGCAATACTGGGCAAGACTCGGCAGGGCTTAGGTAAGCTAAGGCAGTAAGACCAAGAGTATCCTGGTAAGACTGACCCTTTTCCGAATAGCATAGTGGACAAATTATCAACAGCCGGTCGGCAGACAGACTAGATTCGACTATCTGAATCAATCTCAATCTGAATCATTGACATGACGTCACTGCCGCTCAATGTCAATAATTTGGTATACTGCATCTCCGACAGAAGTGGTACTACTGTCGGTTGAACATATTCTACTCGTACATCACGGTAGCCGCAGTGAAGTACACCATCAAAGATCTACAGAAAATAATGAGAACTGCTTTCTTACTTAGCCTTCTTCCTTGCGCTCTGGCATTTTCGTCATCTCTAGCACCAATGGGAAAAGCAACAAGTGCTCTTCATTCTTTGGCATCGGAGGATGAGGCTTCTTCATTTTCTCGTAGAGAAGCCATTCAAGCTGGAGTTGCTTCTGCCACGACTCTTGCAGGTCTATTTGTAATGCCACAATTGGGAATTGCTGAAGAAGAAACCAGAGCCACATCCATTAAAAATGTCGTTGTTGCTGGAGCAACTGGACAAACCGGAAGCCGAGTTTTCGAACGCTTGGTTGCGCAAAACTTCGTCACTACAGGAGGTGTTCGAAATGTTGCAAAGGCCAGCAAGTCCCTGCAAGGAAACCTGAAACAATTAGACGTCGTTGAGGACTCTATTGATAGCCTGACCGAAACCCTCAAGGGAGCTGATGGTAAGATGAACTTTTTGCAGTGAATAGTCTGTGTTGAAGACTTGTATTTGACTCTTGATCTATCAAATCCTTATTTTAGGGCTCATTATCGCATGTGGCATGAATCCAGGCAAGAACCTTCTAAGAATGTCTGCTGCCGCACATGAAGTTGATAATATTGGAACCTGCAAGCTAATCTCTGCCGCCAAGAATGCCGGAGTCAAAAAGGTTGTCATGGTTTCCTCCATTTTAACAGATGGCAGGGCGTGGGGACAAGAGAACTCCCCTGGTTTTGTTGCTACCAATGCCTTTGGCGGAGCACTCGACGAAAAGCTTGTCTCCGAAAAGTTTCTCCGAGCCAGTGGATTGGACTATACAATTGTTAGACCAGGAGGATTGAAGGCGAAGGCCCCAACAGGAGAATTGTCCATCAATCCTGAGAACACACTCAATAGTGGAGAAATTTCAAGAGACTTGGTCGCTGATGTTAGCATTGCTTGCTTGAACGACCCAGAAGCCTCTAACAAGGTTCTTGAAATTTTCGAAGATGAAGAAAAGCCAGCCAAGGTATTCAATGGACTGGTTATGTAATTGATCTATATTTCGCGATTATCACTTAGCAATTGGGATTCCGGAGCTAGTCCAAACTCTTCACTCTCTCCTCTCCAGTTTTTAAGTATCCGTTTGTTACCTGTCCTATTCCTCTATCAGAGCTCTGGCCAAGTATTTGCTGGTTTGATGCATGGGCAATCCCATCACAGTAAAGAAATCTCCTGCGATGCTTTGCACCATTTGGCCGCCAATACATTGTATCCCGTAACTGCCTGCCTTGTCCATCGGTTCCCCAGGGGCAACATACGCATCAATGTCAGCATCGCTCAAGTTGCAAAAGGTAACATGAGCGCTCTCTGTAAACGAAGACAATAGGGAAATTTCACAGCTGGAAGAAAGCCAATAGAGTGCGATTCCAGTGTGGACCTGGTGCTTCAGGGGGTAAAATGAGCCTATGCTCTCTGTTTCCTTGCAATGTATCAAAGCAATGACAACAAGAACTGACCTCTTGACCACTCAATTTGAGCAGCATTTGCTTGGCTTCTTCTTCATTCTTTGGTTTTTCCAAAATCTTGTCTTCAATATCAACAACAGTGTCACTCCCCAAGTAAAATACTGGAATATTTGTGTTTCGCTCTTTTCCTGCATGTTTGGCGGCCAAAGAGTGCGCCTTAGCCTCTGCTAGCTTTTTCATGGAAATGGTCGGATGCAAATCTTGTTGTACCAGCTCTTTTTGCAAAGAAGATTTGTCCAGTGGGGGTGGTTCACACGAATATGATCCAGCCAAGCCCATCATATCAAGGATCTCACTATGGCTGATCCATAGTTCCACGCACCCAGCGATGATGCAAAAATTACCCTTAAGTAAATTAAACGCCACCAAATATACTTCAGGGAAAACGACAACCTCGACTCAAACAACCCCTCCTCTTATTTCCACCTTCCAAACGGACTCCACCATGGTGAATAATTTTGTGACCGAGTTGCGGGATCTCTCCATCACATACCCCCCTCGCCCTCCAACAAGTGCGAGGTTCAACAATCACTCTGATGTGAAGCTAGGAACGATGATCTATCGGACACCCTCCATCATCAGGGACCCTAATATTCCTACTTTAAATTGTCTCAAATTTTGGCTGTATATGCTGGACCCCTACCCTTTCTTTGGACTGCAAACAATTGCGAGACTTGCGTTATAACCTAAAGGAAGAATAAAATGCAGAAGCATCTTTTGAATTTAAATTTCTAAAGAATTTGACATTAATTGCAGTGTTTATCTTCAAGCATTATTCCAAATTATTATTGCATTCTTTTACAGAATTTTCTCCTTGTTTTGCCCTGGAGAAACGGAACATAGTTCCTGTAATGGTCAAACTTTTATTTCAAGAACATATTGGCAATTTAAGTGACGTTTTCTTCTCTTTTTAATTCCAATTTTCCAAAAATTAATTGTTGTTTTGAATTGAATACGTGTGTAAGGTGAAGATGGTAACAGTCACTATCGTATTACATTGTTGTTGTGAATCGTTGTCGGATTCCTTTTAATTGTGATGTGGATAATTGCATGTTTATCCAAACGGATCGTGAACGTGTTCGCGTGTCGAACCCGTTCCTCGCCAATATATACATTACTTATTG